CTCCAGCACCCTCTGCTCAGAGGCACCGGGGTGTGCGGGCCGGTGAGGCGTGAGCAGGGGTGACGAGAAGGAGGACTCTGCCGAATGACCGAGCAAGGCTGTCTTCCAGCGCCAAGCTCTTCCCAGGTCACCGGGCGGGATCAGATTTGTGAAGTGACTGGAGATTCTCCAAAAAATTTTTCTTTAAAAATTGCACAGTCCCAGTACAGATGCAGTCACACCGTTTTCAGAGCTCTGTCCAGGGATTCAGGGAGGAACATCCCGGCACCCACGGGTCCCCTGACAGATGGCTCAGAGCCCAGGTCGGCGAACTTTATCTTCAAAGGGCCAGGCGCTAACCGCTCAGGCTGGGCCCTCCATCCGGTTCAACGCCGCCACCGAGTTGGGGAGAATGTGGCCGAGACGCGGCCCAGGCACAGGTGCCCATAACACCTGGTAACTGCATGCAATCCGACTGCGTGTGACTGTCCTGTGTCACGAAATGTTATTCTTCTGATACTTTTTTCATCCTTTACAAAACTGTCGGCCCTGGGTGGGTGGGAGCGACATTCTGTACAGCGAAAGGTTCGGGGTTCGATCCCGAGTTGGGGTGTGCGTGAGTGACAGCCCATCCGATGTTTCTTTCTCTCCCCCACCCCTTTCCTCTCGCTATCAAATCAATGAAAAGAACATATCATCGGGCGAAGATTAAAAATAAGATAAAATAAAATAAAATTTCCTGTGACGGCCTTGGGAATGGCAGGGGATACTCAGAACGACAGCAATGCCCACTGCGTTCCCAGCCCCCCCCCAACTCCAAGCCCTTCCCGGGTTTCCGCTGAAAACAAAATCCAAATCTTCACGTGTTGCTGCAGAACACCTACTACACAGGCAAATAAAGTAGGATCTCCGTTTTGTTTGCTGGCAGTTTTATTTCCTGGATAAACGTGCTAACCATACTTTCCCCAAATACAAAAGCCTCCCCATGCCCCCCCTGCCCCCGTCACTGTGGGGAAATGTAATTTACGTTCCATTTGCTAATAAAACTGCGACAAGAATCTGAAAAAAATATCCCTTCCGACCCCAGTCCCTGCTTTCAGATGCATTTTTACGTCCAATTCCAAGCGATACCCTAAGTGACATGGATTTTACAAGGAAAAAGTCCCCAGACGTAAAAAGTGCCTAGATTGCACCATGCCCTGCAGCTACAACGAAAATCACAATCAATTTGGCTGGAATGTTTACCTGGCACCCTGCCTTTAAAAAATAACACTGCACAGGTTTATGAATTAATGCAGCGAGCAATCTGTGGGGGAGGGGGCAGACACACCCCAGCCTGACCTATTTCCTAATGCATCCAGGAGAAAAAGCACATCGTTATGGATTTTGCAAAGTGCGTTTTCATTCATCTGTGTCTCTAATGAGAAAATGAAACAAGAGACATGCATCCCCTCCCCGGGGAGCCTCATAATTTGCAGAGAACCTGCTTCTGAGAAGTGTTGGCCCATCAGTGGCTTGGCCCCTTGTGACCGCTCATTTTTCTGGTTAATGCGTTAAATGAGAAAGGGGGGAAGTGACCCCTCCCCGCAAAAAAAAAAAAAAACCTGTGTTACATTCCCACTTTCCCTATTGTTGCTGGGTCCCGTGACAGAGGTTGAAGGGCACTGCTAAGGGAAGGACTGGGAAAAAAAGTCAATTTAACACAAGCCGACAGTGTCCTCCCTATCAGGTTAGGCTGGGGAGACAAGCAGACAGGTGTGGCCAAAGGTCCCGCCCCAACAATAATGATGGATTGCTGAGTGGTAATGCCAGTGGGTTATTGTACATAGTAATTTTTTTTAAAGAAGGGAGGGAGAAAGAGAGGGAGGGAAATATCAATGTGTGGTTGCCTCTTGTGCGCCCCCTACTGGGGACCTGGCCCACAACCCAGGCATGTGCCCTGACAGGGAACCGAACTGGCAACCCTTTGGCAACCCTTTGGTTCGCAGGCCAGCGCTCAATCCATTGAGCCACACCAACCAGGGCCTGTATGTAGTATTGTTATTGGTCAAATACCACGTTTCCCGGGAAACCACAATGCTGTCTGTAAGTTATCTGTAGGTAGCCCTGGCCAGTATGGCTCAGCTGGTTGGATCATCCCATTTACAAAAAAGTTGGTTTGATTCCCAGTTGCGCAAATGAGAGGCAACCAGTAGATGTTTCTCTCCTCCCCTCCCCACCTAAAACCGGTAAGCATATTTTAAAAGATATTTGTATATATCTCTAATAACTCAAGCTGTGCCCCAACAGAAGATTTGGACATGTATTGAATACACCTGTGGCTGCCGGTCCCTAGTGCTGAAGGCAAGAGTTACATTCTGTTTTCCCTCTTTCCTGCTGGGCTCCACGTGGCCCTGGCCTGAGCAGAGTCCCTTCCAGTTCTTCATTCCCTGGAAAGAAATGAAGGACTTTTCCCTCGGGGGTAGGGAGGTGGTAGCAAAGAAGGAGCAGCAAGCTGGGAGGTTATCAGTCATTTTAACTCGCCTGTCACTGTGAGAGAGAGAGAGAGAGAGTCTGTTTGCCATACTCCTGGCTCCTCGTTTGCAAAAGACCGACTTTAGCAACTTTGTCTTCATCTGAAATACATTAAGGGGGTTGCTTAAAATTTTTCAGAGCTGGGAATTATATGCACTGGACTGAGATACAAACCACACAACACACCATCTGCCCATTAAGTGGTGTTTGGTATATTCCCAGAGCCGTGCACTGCCATCAGCTCCGAGGCGAGGCGCCGCCTCTGAGTTCTCTGATCCACCCCAGAGAGAGAGACCGAGGTCCAGGCGGGTTGGGTCACGCCTCAAGGTCACAGAGCTGGCGGGTGGCAGAGCCCAGCTGGACGCCTGGGAATTACTACACCCCTGCCATTGTCCGGGACACCCCTGTACCCCCGTTCCCGGCCTGGGAACATAAGAAACAAATGAACACCTGCCATGAACACACCCTGCTCCCTCTTAGGGCAGCGAGGTCTAATTCCTCCACCAAATCTGCCCTTGGGCAAATTCATTCTTGGAAAGGTCTAGACTCTGGCCACCAAACGGTCACTGTCAAGGCCAGAGAGGATCTGGGATAGCTTCCTTTTTGGATAAAGTTGCAGAAGAGTTCAGCTCCTGAAGAAAAGGCTAAATTAGACCCTTTGCCCGTTGTGTTTCTCCGGGACTGATTGGGGGGGGGGGGGGGGGGGGGTAAGCCTCAGTGCCCCTGGCCGGCGCGGTATGTTTCCGATACCAGTAGCTTCCTCAGATGTTCTCCGTTTGCCGAGCTGGTGACTGGGCAGAAACCAACCCAATTTTCCCCAAGGCCTTAGGTCTCGGCCATGGCTGAGGTTTGCACCTGTGGCGTCCACCACAGTAAAGGGACATTTTTCCAAAGAGGAGGTTAGCTCCCTTCCCGGGGGGGAGGGGGCCGGCAGGACCTGGTCACCACCCTGCCCACTTTTGGTCTCCCCCTCTGTGGGTTCCGTGACACTTCTCCCCACGGCATTCACCCAGCCCTTCCTTCCCGGGGCCCTCACCCCCAAAGTTTCATTCATTCTGTGTGCATACACCTCTACCGAGCCACCACCACACTCACCAAGTCCGGGGCTACACAGGCCCCTGTGTGGGAGCTCACTGTGCCTTTTCTCCTTTCCTCTTGCTCCTCTATTTTTAATCTCCATTTAGGCTGGAAATGCCACACCGTGGGCAACCCAGTCTCGGCTTCACGCCCCTGCCCCAGGTCAGCACACAGAACACACACCTGCCCCCAGGCCAGTGACATCTGAATGTCCCCCAGAACCCTCCTGGGGCGGGCAGGGAGCCCCACTGACTCCCCTCTCCGACCAGCCCGCCCTCTCTGATCTCCCTGAAGAGAGCTCAGTCCGCCCTGGGCCCTCAGCCGGAAACCAGGTGTCTTCATGGAACAGAGTGAGAAAGGGAAGGGGTTCAGCCGGGGACTGAAACAAGAACAGAATCTCCTGGGGCTGAAACAAGAACAGAATCTCCTCCTTTCAGCTGCTTTTCAGGGGCCAGTTTGTGGGAGACGCAGGCTGAGACCTCAGAAAGGTGGATTTCGAGTGAGCCTGTCCACCTGGTTTTTGGCAAGTTGGCGGCGGGGGACGTGGGGGAGGGAGGGGCGGAGCCTCAGATGCAAGGCGCAGGTGTACACAGATTTACAATGCGCACTGTGCCCTGGCTGGAAGAGGCTGCAATGTGGGAATAATACAAACTGAGCTTCAACACACCCCATCTTCGCACCTCCCGGCCTGTTTGCCTTCTTCCTGGCTCAGAACACCCTTCCTCATCCCCCCAGCCCCCCATCTCAAATAGCACCTCACACTTAATTCTCCGATGACGTCTCCCCCCAACCCCCGCCCCGAAAGCTCGCCCGCCCACCCCCGCTGGGTGGTCTGCCACCCTGCGCGCAGAGGTGTGTCTAACACTGTTTGTTTACGTGTCTGTCTCCCCACACCTGACCCACAGCCCTTGGAGAGAGAGCGTGGTACCCATCCCCGGGCACCCCGGGGAGACGGTGGGGGGAGGAAGAATGGCGGTGGGGAGCCCCCGCCCAGAGCAGGGCGCAGTCCAGCAGGTCCATCCCGGGCGGGCGCGCGCGCGCGCGTGGGCGAGCCCCAGGGACCCAACACACGGCGTCCCCTGCCCGCTGAACGCCTTGCACAAGCACCGCACCACCTGAGTCTTCCTCCCAGTGCCCGGTGAGAGACAGGCTTGAGCAAGATCTCGGGACGCCCACCCTCTCCCACGCGGAGACCCTGCAGCCCGCCACCTCCTCTGCCCCCACAGATCCTCCGAATTCCAGCGGCTCCGACTGGAGCGCGGGCGGGGGCTGGGGAGGAGCGAGCCGGCGACCCTCACTCCACCCCCGCGCACTCTTAGGCGGGAAGATATGGAGCCTGAGAAAGGAGCTAGGGGCGACAGATTCCCAAAGGCCCGGGGCCTCGGCGACCCGGCTCCCCAGTCCCCCGCTCCCGGCTCGGCGCCCCCTACCTGGCTGGCTTTGTGGAACTGCTTCTTCAGGCCCGCCACCGACATCGCGGCTGCGCCCGGCCGGGGATGGGTGGTCTCTGGGCTCGGCCGGGCCGCGTGGCCGCGACGCGCTGGGGAAGCGGGCGCCCGGGCCGGTCCCCGCCCGCTGGGGTCCCCCGGGCCCGCCTCCCACGGCCACGGCCACAGCCACGGCCTGAGCCGCTGTCACACACGCACACACGCGCGCACGCAGCTGGCAACAACGCGTATCAAAGCCCCCGCGCAGCCCATTGGCGGAGCCGCGGCGTATGCAAATGAGGCCGCTGCGGCCGCCCACACATATTGTTGCGTGGAGACCGGGAGGACCCCCAGTGGCTGGGGAGACCTGTCCGGGCAGCTGAGCAGTGGCGAGGTCTGCGTGCAGGGAGCGGAGCCACACCGCGCTTCTGGCTGCGCGCAAAAGGGGAGGCACCAGGCTTTTGGATGGATGGCTCTGCGAGGGGCGACAAGCACCACCTCTCTAAGATTCCGGGACTCTTACGCGTAACCTCCCTTCGCTCACGGGCAACATCGCCTCCCAACGGCGCAACTGGGTAGGTTTATGTTTTAAGGCAGAGACTCTCCAAAATGCACCTAGACGAGAAAGGCCACACAGGACAAGAGACCCGCCGTAGGAGGAAGAGGCCTGTGGGCACTGGGCTGTTTCCTCTCTCCCCACTCGGTGCTGTGGGTGAAGTCTTCGCAAACCATGTCGGTCCTCTGGGAGCTGAAGTTACTGGGGACCTGACTGAGAAAGGCGGCGCTCGCCTCCCTAGAGGGCTGAGCCACCGTCGCCTCCATTAAGAGCAACTGTCTCTCCAAGGAGCCATAAACTGCGTGCTCAGTCCCCCAGGGAATCACCAGACGACAGACCCATCTCCCTCGTGCATCGCTTACAGGGTCATTTTGCACGGGGGCCAGAAGTCTGCGCACCCACGGCCGAGGCCCAGCCAGGGGCCTGAGCATCCCGGGTTCGTCCCGTCCTCCTGTCCAAAGCGGCTCCCAGCAGGTCAGCATCTGCGCTCAATCTGACTTCAGAGGGCCCGAGGGCTCCCAAGACCTACAACCCACTCAGCAACGCTTAGCGCTGAACCACCTTCCTCCTCCGCCAGAAAGACGCTCCTCTTCGTGGGCCCTCGGCCTATCCACCCAGGAAGACCACGCGCCCCCGCGCGCCCCGGACACTCGGTTTACCGCCTGTTCCCTGGCGCCCGCTTCTGGCTGCCTGCGTTCGTCCAGGGCGAAAGGCCCCAGCCCCTGCTTTGCCATTAGCTCCCGATTGTCTTATCCCTGACTTCGTCCTAGTGAGGATCGCGCTGGTAACTGCACCTCTCTGCGCCTCAGTTTCCTCTCTTTCCCGTGGAAAGTGTGGACAGGAACATCCTTCCTCTGATACAGGAGAAAATTAGTGAATCTGGTGGCGGGGACAAAGCCATCCATCCAGAGCGTTAATTAGTACCAGTTGGCTGAGGGCTGTGTGGCCTTCACTGGGTTAGAGGTTCTGCCCCTTCCCCACCCCCCAAAAGAGGCAGAGGCAGCTGGGTCTAGGACTGGGGGTGCGGTCCCCTTGTCCTGGGCTAGTCCAGGGCTGCCTTTCCCCCCTCCCTGCCCCAGAGTTGTTTAGGTAGCAGGAGTCTGAAGACGCTTCCCCCAAAGCAATCAGACTCCGTGACTTCTGTGCTGGGGGTGATATTTTCAACAACTCACTGGCATTTCTTCACGGCTGATAGTATCTTCAATTTTCCCTCTTCGTTCATCATGTTGATGATTTGCCGCTTCACTTAATCCAGTGAGAATTTGTGCATCCTATTCTCATAGACTTCAAACCTCAGAATATCTCACAGACGTTTTCTCCTTTGTCAAAGTAGTTGTGATTTAAAACAAAAGTTTAAACACGACAGCAACGCAAATGCTCAGAGACGCTTATGTGCATGTTCCTTCACCTCCTCACTTCCGTGCGTGGTTTATCTTTTATTCTTCTTTGTTTTATCATCGACACGTATGAAACTATGAATTTACTTCCTACACATGGTTCTTGGTTCCATCATGTAATGTGGTTCTGATTATTTTCTTAATAAACTTGTCATTGTAGTTTTAATTTCCTCTTTGATCCAAATGTTCTTTGGGACAATCTTCTCCAGCCCTGGCCAGGTAGCTCAGCTGGTTAGAGCGTCGTCCTGATGCCCCCAGGTTGTGGGTTCAATCCCCAGTCAGGAAGCAACCTGTGAAAGCATTAATAAGTGGAACAGCAAAATAATGTTCTCGCTCTCCTTTTCCCTCTTTCTCTAAAATCGATAACTAAATGAAAAATCTTTTCTCACTGTTTTCATTTCTTCTATTCATTGTATATCAAATTCTAGACTTGTAGTACTATTATTAAATAGCATATCTTGAAATTCCTTTTTAAAAAAAAAATAGATCACCTTTGTTAACCAAGAGAAAAGCCAGTGCACAAATGCCCTGTAATTCACCAAGTTCCGACGTTTCCCCCCTCACCCCGCTCGCCGGCCCTCCCCATCCCACACGCTCTGCACCCAGGCAGCGCCCTGCAATGTAGTCTGGCCGTGTTGGCGGTTCTCAGTCCCTGAAACGACACGCTTAAAACCATCTTTTAATACTTAGCCACACTTCACACTGGCCCTTACGGCAACACGCAGCTGCCGCTTTTTTGGAAGGCTGTTCTCAGAGCTGGTTTTTTGTGCAAGATAACACGAGCGTGTTTCTAGTGTCATGCTTTTTCATTCTTAAATCGTGATCTTTTAAAAAAATTTTTAAGGACAGTTTTATGTTCAGTACTGCTCTGTATGAGTTCCAGGTGCACAGCACAGCAGTGAGACAGTCACACCCCTTACAGAGTGATCCCCCTGACAGTTCCAGTCCCCACCTGGCCCCACACACGGTTATTACACATTACTGACCGTGTCTCCCATGCTGCACTCTGCATCCCTGTGACTGTCAGTCTGAACCTCTCCATCCCTCCCCCTTCCTCACCCAGCCCCGAGCCCCCTCCCCTCTGGCCACCTGTTCTCTGTGAGTCTGTTTCTCTTTTGCTTCTGGACGTTTCCGGTTCCCTAGGCCTGTTCTGTGAACGCCTCTGAATGCGCCCCGCGGCCCGGCGTCGTTCTCCGCGTCCCGGAGACAGTTCGCAGGGGCACACGCTCTGCCGCAGCAAGGAGCTCGGTCACCGGGTTTGCACTCAAGCCGGCCAGAGCCGTGTCAGCCTGTTCACGTCACTGTCGCCCCCCCCGCCCCCCCCCCCCCCCCCCAGCGACCCGAGGACCCAGGGCTCCTCAGTCTGTGCGGGGAAGGACCACACCCAGGGCCTGGGCTACTATCCACATGGGGCGAAGCCTGGGAGGAGGCCCGGGGCACAGGCCAGCGTCACACTCTACACTGAAGGATCTTTGGGCATTTGGCGGTTTGCACAGATCAGTGACCAGAGGGACACTGTGGTCGTCTCTGTCCTTAAACCTAAAGCCTGGGACAAGTTCCGGATCATAGTTCTTGGCAGCCTTTGCAGCCCTGAGTTCAAATGCCGATGATTTAGATAATCCCGGGGTGCTCACCTAACCAGGGCCTCCCCGTTGCTGGCTCAGACTCCACTGTCGCCTTAAACTCCCCCAACCCCATCCTGGGGCGGCGCCGGTGCTCAGGGGTGAAAGGGCGAGGCTCGGCCCGCGGTGGGGCCTCCGTGCGCAGGGCCCAGTGTTCACTTAAACCTGGAGGCGTGGTCTCCCTCCGTCTCACGTCCCCACAAACCCGGCCCCGCAGAGCGTCCAGTGCGTGAAGGCCCAACCCCTCTCGTCCCGATGCCACCAATGGGCTTTTCCAACAAGGCAGACGTGACGAATCCCAGATGCTGGCCATGGCGGTTTGCCTTGAACTTGAAAGGTGCCCACTGCGGACGCATGTAGATGTTTTACATGACATTGATGGAAAATCGTTGGATCATCGGTTCAAGAAGAGGCCAGAGCAATCTTTTCATTTGAAAATGTATAGGAAAAAAAGAACCGGAAATATTTGTATTTTAAAGCAAAGACTGGGTGAAGGAGTACCATCTCGACTGTGAAAACAGAAAGAATTCACTAGTGAATTAATAATACGCATCAATTCATTGTCTGGGATACAGGATGACTCCGCTTTTCCGGACTCTAGAAATAGTCAGTGAGAGTTCTGGGTAACGCTGTAATTCTTTCTGGCCTTTGTTCGTTACAGATATGCATTTTTTATTTTTCACATTTACCCCCAAGATCTCCTTTTTTGCTTTTAATGAAATGATGTTGGAGATTTCTGGTGGAGGTACGGAATTCACGCACAGTGAGGTGGCTTTTGTAAGCTAATGCTGCCACCTCGTGGTGATATTGAGATATTACAGCACAGGTAAACCTTTAGGAACCATAAGCCTATCAGTTGCGTACCATCTTCATTTGTAGGCCAATGCTGCCATCTTGTGGTAATATTGAGAAATGACACCGGTAAACATTTAAGAAGCATAAGTGTGTGTATATATGTGTATGTGTGTATGTGTGCATGTATGTATGTGTATGTATGCATGTCAGTGCTTAGTTTCATAGCGTTTCGTTTCGTAGGTTAATGCTGCCACCTTGTCGGGCTCATGAGATATTGCAGAAGCAAATACAAAACATAGTATGTCAGCCAGTGGTTATTTTTGTGCCATATTTTTTTAACCTCAACCAAGGACATGTTTATTGATTTTAGAAAGATGGGAAGGGTGGGAGAGAAACATAGATGTAGGAAACATCCATCGGTTGCCCCGTGTACACACCCCCAACCCGGGACCAAACCCACAATCTAGGCATGTGCTCTGATCAGAGTCAAACCTACGACCTCTGGATTTACCAGCCAACACGCTAAGCAAGCCACACCAGCCAGGGCTCACGCCATATATTTTTGTGAGCTTATGCTGTTACCTAGTGGAGACACAGAGAAACTGCACAGGTAAACCTTTAGGAACAGGCGTTCAGTTCAGTTTTTTCCATAAACTAAAAGACACATTTTTCATTTTCACCAGTAACTTCATTGATGTGGATATTTTGAGTATGTCGGCTGTCTCCCACTATTGGCTTCTAGTGGGTAGAGGCCAGGGGTGCTGCTAAACATCTTCCAATGCATCAGACAGCCGCACAGCA